CCGTCCTCCAGACCTCCCTGCAGACCAACCCGACCCCGCCCCGCTGGCCGGGCGGCCGGAGAGGGAGTTCTTCGCCAAGTGGTCCAACATGTCGTACTGGCACTGCTCCTGGGTCACCGAGCTCCAGGTGGGTGAAACACACACACACACACACACAGACACACACACACAGAAACACACACACACACACACACACACACATAAACACACACACACACACACACACACACAGACACACACAAACACACACAGAAACACACACACACACAGAAACACACACACACACACACACACAGAAACACACACAGAAACACACGCCCCTCTAACCTTGGTCCCGCCCCCCCAGCTGGAGCTCCACTGTCAGGTGATGTTCAGGAACTACCAGAGGAAAAACGACATGGACGAGCCGCCGCCCATCGACTTTGGCGAGGGCGAGGAGGACAAGAGCGTGAAGAGGAAGAACAAGGACCCCATGTACGCCCAGCTGGAGGAGAAGTACCTCCGCTTCGGGATCAAGATGGAGTGGCTGATGATCCACCGCATCCTCAACCACAGGTCAGTGCACACACACACACACACACACTCACACACACACACACACACACGCACACACACTCAGGAAGTTCTCGTCTGCTCTGATTCGATCACGTCTCTTCACTCTCTGAAGAATCGGCACTTTATTTTTTTCATGATGATGAATTTCCGACTTTTTCAAACTTCGGATCTTTGAGACGATCGTCTGTCCTCTGAGTCAGGATCTGTCTCACCTTAAAGGTGTAGTCAGGATCTGAATCTTGAATGTAAACTCTACCCCTCCAACCAGTTTTCCCCTCAGCTCCTCCCCTCCCTGTCTTAAGCCCCGCCCACAAACAGACGCTCCTGCTCGCTCGTATCGTTCCAGTTAAATTCAGATATAATGCAGATAAATACTTCAGATCATTACAAATGGGGCCCAGTCAAGGTGAAAGTCAAAAGCATTGGTGCTACTGTAGATGCCAACAGACTACCAGCAAACACAATGTTTGCAGGACTTCTACAACGAGGATAAAGTGACATAGTCCAGGACCCGAGGGAGGACAGTTTAGCGATGGCGCTACAACACGCTACTCTTTCTCTGACCTCCGTCCGTCTCTGACCTCCGTCTCTAACCTCCGTCTCTGACCTCCGTCCGTCTCTAACCTCTGTCTCTGACCTCCGTCTCTAACCTCCGTCTCTGACCTCCGTCTCCAACCTCCGTCTCTGACCTCCGTCCGTCTCTAACCTCCGTCTCTAACCTCCGTCTCTAACCTCCGTCTCTCTCTCTCTCTTCAGCGTCGACCGGAAGAATAACGTCCACTACCTGATCAAGTGGAGGGAGCTGGCCTACGATCAGGCGACCTGGGAGGCGGAGGACATGGACGTCCCTGAGTTTGATGTCTTTAAGGTTCAGTACTGGAACCACAGGTGAGGAGCAGACTCAGGTGGAGGTCTGACCCCGAGAGTCCGGGTTTGTTAACTGTGAGTTTGTTTGTCTCAGAGAGCTGATGATGGGCGATGAAGGAAAACCCGGGAAGAAGATTAAAGTGAAAGGACGAGTGAAGCGGCCCGACAGACCTCCAGAGAACCCCGTGGTGGATGTGAGTCTGCAGACCAGCCCTCCAGGTTCTTGTTATGGTTCTGAACCTGGCTCGGTTTTCTGAAGGTTCTGTGTTTGATCTTCTGTCTCCAGCCGACCATCAAGTTCGAGCGTCAGCCGGATTACCTGGACAGTACGGGCGGCACGCTGCACCCCTACCAGCTGGAGGGTCTGAACTGGCTGCGGTTCTCCTGGGCTCAGGGGACCGACACCATCCTGGCCGATGAGATGGGTCTGGGGAAGACGGTGCAGACGGCCGTCTTCCTCTACTCGCTGTACAAAGAGGTGAGGGGGCGGGTCATGTGACCCCTGAGGACAAACCGAAGTTTACTCTGAAGGTCGGACAGGAGGCGATCTTTGACCTTCACTCTTGAACTCGAACCCGGAGCCGTTTCAGGGTCATTTACTCCTGACGTTCTAAAGTAAATCAGTAACAGCTCGTCATCGTCGGGCCGAGGTCGATGAGAGGCGATCAGCTGTGACCTTTAAAGTGTTGGAATGGTTTCAGAAAAATTACAGAATAAAAATCGGAATTTTATCTCCGTCTAAAATAAAAAACAGTTTTAAAACGATCGTCTAAATCCTGTTTGTTAAAGTCTTTTCTACCGTTCAGGCAGTTATAACAGATAAAAATACAAAAGACATGAATAATCGAAAACAGATGAGATGATTTTAAAATATCGATCATGAAATCTGGAGTAAAGTTCAGATTGTTTATTATTGATCATCTCTGTTGTTTGTTTATTGATCTTGGACATTTGAGATGTTACTCAGGAGTCAGAAACACGAACAGCCGTCCGGCTTTTTTCAAGATGGCTGTGGTGGTAGTCGTGGTTACAACAACAAAACACGAGTCGACTCGCTGCGCCGTGCGTCCCGTCCGCTGTCTGTTGTCCTGAGCGTTAGCATTTAGCATCGCCGTAGCTACTTGGCTTCGCGCTGCAGGGCTGCGCAGGCGTGTTTCTCAGCCAATCGGTGGGGAGGACCCGGATCAACCCCTCGTCTGAGAGCCTCACAGAAGTCAAACTGAACTGAGTCATCCGATCGCTGAATAGATGGGCGGGTACGGACAGCGAGCTTTGGGCTGTGGTTGGTCAGACTGACATGTCTGTCAGCTTGATTGACAGTTTTGTGGTTCAATCAGAAGGAAATGTTTGTTTTTAGCTCGTGGGAAAATTTCTAGAAAACAAAGTTTAAAGAAAATGACAAGATAAACGATAAACGTCGTAGTGAGGTGAGAGCGTTCTGGTTTTAAAGAGCAGGATGTTCTGATTTATGACAGTGGGTGGAGTTACCTGACGGCGTCTTCAGCTTCATGAGTCGCTCATGTCCGCAGCGCGTTTAAAACGTGTTTAAAACGTGTTTAAAACGTGTTTAAAATCTTAAAAATGATTAAAATACGTCGGTGAAATATTCAAACACGCCGTTTCAGACCTCCTCTAACCCCCCAGAGAAAAATCTGTTGTTTCATCTCGTCCTCGTGAAGTTGGAGGCTGAGGCTCACCGAACAGGAAGTTAAAAGTTTTAGTTATGAATCTGTAAACAAACCGAGTTTGTCGTGGAAATATCCTGGTCAGCTGTCGTCTGATTGGCCGCCATCCATTCAGCCATTTTGTCTCCGTCAGGTGAAATCTGACGACATGAAGATCATTCCCAAACAAGAAACACTCACAGGCAGGGATCATGTGTGCAGCTGCCGCCACCTACAGGCGGGAGGCCAGAATGCACTTCCTGTTCCTCCTCTGTTTGATTTGATCTGGATTCTGTAGATGAGGTTCTGAACCCGGTCTCTGTCCCCCCCCCCAGGGTCACTCCAAGGGTCCGTTCCTGGTCAGCGCCCCGCTCTCCACCATCATCAACTGGGAGAGAGAGTTCGAGATGTGGGCGCCCGACATGTACGTGGTGACCTACGTGGGAGACAAGGACAGCCGCGCCGTCATCCGAGAGAACGAGTTCTCCTTCGAGGACAACGCCATCCGAGGAGGGAAGAAGGCGTCCAGGATGAAGGTGCGAAGAGGAGGAGAGCGTCTTCTTCTTCTTCTTCTTTGGTTTAAAAACACGACCTCCTTCTTATTTTTGTGGATTTGCTCCAACAGAAAGACTCGTCCATCAAATTCCACGTCCTGCTGACGTCCTACGAGCTGATCACCATCGACATGGCGGTCCTGGGCTCCATCGACTGGGCCTGTCTGGTGGTGGACGAGGCCCACAGACTGAAGAACAACCAGTCCAAGGTAAAGACTCAGAACCCGGGACAGGAGGATGAAGTCCTGACGGGATCTGACCGTCGGGGTTTTACTCCACGGCGTGAACATCTCAAACTGTTTGTCTGTTTTTCCTGTCCGCTCTAAAACACCGATTTACAGACACCGAGGCAGGATGACGGTATTTTAACACGGACAGGAAGTTCTTACACCGTCAACATTAACGGTTATTACATTAATGAAAGTTCCACGAGTTCCCGTCTTTAGAGGATCCAGATCTTAAAGGAGGAGGTTCTGATGGTTCTGGACTCAATTAGAGTCCAAACCTTCAGACATCACTCCTTCAGGGTGTCGGAAACCTCCGTCCAAAACACTCTTAATTTAGGGCGGAGCCAAAATATGTGGGCGTGGTCCACTGTGACCTTGTGGACCCGTCCATGACTCCGTCTCTGCTGGAATCTAAAGTTATATTTCCCTCCATGTGTTTGAGTTTGTAACCTGATCCTCCTGAGGAGCGTGGACGTCGGCTCCGCCTCCTTCTCCTCTTTGTAAAAACTTAACCGAAGATAATACGAGTATTTCGTTTATATTTCGTTTTTATTTCGTTTATATTTTGTTTTTATTTCATTTTTATTTCGTTTATATCTCGTAAATTGTTTTATTTTCTTCCTCTCTGTTTTGTTGTGAATTTATGTCAGTCCTACTAAATTGTCATAAAGTCTCTAAAGATCTAAAAAAATTTGATCATAAAAGATAAAAATTTATTTTAGCTGCTGAAATGTTTGAAGTTTTTCACCGTCAAACAGATTAAATCCCTTTTTTAAAACTGTTATCTAGATTATCGGGCGTTAAAGTCCTAATAAAACTCATGAGAGGCGGGGTTAGAGTGACCTTCGTCCGCTCCGACATCCCTGTCCCGGGGGCGTCTAGAAAGGGGCGTGGTTTGTAGAGGATCCTGGCGTGGTTGTGTTTCTACGTTGAACCAGCGTGTTCTTGTGTTTTCCTGGATCCGATGAGGCGTTTCGTCTGTGCGGCGTTAAAATAACGTTTTAAATTCGCCGCTGTAAAACCTCGGTGTGGACAGCGTTTGAACTCTGCGGCGTTTGTTTCTTTCTTTATTATCGGAGTCGTTGAATAAATAGAGAAGTGGGGGCAGGACTACTGTGTGGTTTTAAAGGTGG